CTCTCTGTTTCTTACGCCTTCCAGTCTGTTCTTGATTCCTCCCCTGCCAAAGACCGCGCGCAAAATGGAAGAGCATTGAGCGTTCGACCCAGAAGATTGCTTTGCAAAGGGGCCCTTGCCACCCCCACGGACCAATTAGAAAATAAAAAGTTAAAAGAAAGAGTCATAAAAATATTGAATGAAGATGAAAGTAGTCTTGGTAAAATGCTAAACAACGTAGTGCACGATGCCAGTTACCAAGAAGAATTTAATGCATTATTACATGACAAGGGATTTGAAAAAGAGTTTAACGAATTAGTTAGCGACAGTAGTTCGGAAGAGGATATATCCAGTTCTTTACATTCATTGAGTACTTACGATGGAGATGATATAACTCGTACAGGTTTCGCAGCCTACCCTCAGCCACCTAATTCAACGACAGATAGCCCAATTCTAGAAACACATCTCACTTCTCAAACTTATGATGCAAATTTGAAGAAACAGTCCCATCCAACAATACCTAACCCAGAAATTCGAGAAAGGTTAAGTCAGGAACCAAAAAAATTCGGAAGCGTTGACCAATTTCTAGACGAAATACAGAAAGCCGATAACGTGAAAAAGATGATTGAGATATTGAAATTTTATGGAAATTCCGAAGTTCCTGTTACGTTAGCTGAAAAAACAGAGACAACTCAACAGGTGCCCCAAAATTGGGAGATCTACGCACAAGGACAATCCGGATGGGAATCATCAGCACATGCTAAATTGAAGTCTCAACTAGAAGCAAAGCTGCACGACCAATTGCAAATGCAAGTTCAGAAACCTCCACCTAGAAGAATCAGAACCAGGCCAAAATCGTTTTTGGGACTTATATATAAAATGCTCAACAAGGTAGACAGCAAGTACGAAGACCATCTGCTGAAAGTCTTGACAACTAATTATAGGTTTCTCGTTAAGAATGGAAAAATGTTAAGGTTAAGATACTACCTCGACCTTATTTTATGCCTTTCGCCAGTCCTTTTTTGGGGTACCCTTCTGGGCATTTCTGCATTGAATTATCCAATGTCACCCTTCGTTCTTTTCGCCGTAATCGGGTCCCTTTCCGTGCTTTACGTCCTCTTCAAATTGTGGAACTGCAAGCGTATCTGCAAGGGAATAGGCAAATATAAGTTGCGCAAGAAGTTCAAGCAAATGGTTGACTATTGGAAGAAGTAGACTTTGATATTTCTTTAAATTTAATAATATATGCATATATCCCGCTTTTGAAGCATCCCAGAAGCTATCTTTACCCCATAAAGTTTAGTAGTAAAAAAAAAAAACAGCGAATAAGCTGCTCTTGCTATATATATCATCTCGCATAAGACGTCGAGAGGTGCCTTTCCAGTTTCTCTTATAAATAATTTATCCGAAGCAACTTATCGGAAGTAATTTATCGGAAGTAATTCATCAGAATTGATTTATAGATTCACTTTACAGTATACTTAATGTGAGCAACAGCAACGACAAAGCCCCCTTGGCACACTTCCAGTTTTACATATATGTCCAAATTATCCATTTCGTGTGGTTACCTTTTAGGACAAATAAAATGTCTCTTTTCCAAGGAGTATAAAATTTTTTCATATTTTGTTTTATCTATATTTGTTTAATTACACATACGGCACATACATAAATATTTGTTCATTCACGCATGTACGCACCTATGTGTGTATACGCGGATTTGTGTGCATATTGCACTTTTTCACTTCCCATTCGTGTACTATGAGTTGGTATCCATATTATATATTTGTCTTCATACATTTTGTTTGCTGCAATTGTAATTTTTTCCAAAAAATACTATTGCTTCTTTTTTTTTTGTATTTAACTATATTTGTAAATTTTTAATGATGATACAATACTGATAATGGAAAACACAATAATGATCATGATGACAATGTTGCTGCGCTGAAAATATCTAGCTTTCTTAATGTACGTACAATATATGGTTAAAATACTATATCTGCATATATATATATGGAAAGCTGAAATTCCGCAAAGGTATGTATATAAATATATATATAATATGTATATGCATGGAAACAAACTAATGACTAATATGTATAATATTTCCTCCTAATTATTAAATAATGAAATGATTTAACGAATAAACCGTTTCATTGGGTACATACCTGAATGGTAAAACGATGTGTTCTTAAAGCATCGGCGGTACAAATGACATGAAATTCTGTGATAAGTGTATAGTAGTGCTAAGCGGTTGTTTACCTCACATGGGTTCACATTTCTTAAGACTAATACACTCATGCAGTAGGAAAGTTAACATATGGATGTGCGAAGTATTACTTTCTAGCACCTTAATGGTAATCTACATTTGTACCCGTCCGCTTCGCGCCATCACCAGTTCAACATTTTTCTTATTTCACCCTCTCTGTGTAATTATGTTATGCAAACTGCTTATTTAGGTTATTCCCTTTTTGAAAAACTGTACCTGCATTTTTTTCTTTTCCTTTTTTCTTGTACCATAATGATGCGCCATCTTATGTTATCCCTAAATTGACCAATTGGTCATTTGTCCCACCCCTAGCTGGGCGAATAGGTACAAATATATTTGCACGCCATTAACTCATACGTCGCATTGCTGAATAATGCCCCTTTGAAGTTTGCCCTCTCTTTTTAGCTTGGCGGGCAAAACAGGATGAGATTCTTACCTCGTCCCCCTGGGCTGTGCTACCCATTTACAGTACCGCGTAGATGATGCCCTTTAAAATGGACGTCAGTCACCATTTCACAAGAAAAATAATTACTACCATGAATTTATGTTACACTTTGAATGCGTGCAAAGCTTGTCCAAATGTGGCACTTCCTCTCTTCCACATAGAGAGACAGCAACGAAATGAAATTTCCTCTTCGCAAAAGCTAACCTTGACTTCCCAGGGGACATATCCCAGAGTCGGTCTCCACACGTCGCCTGTGTTTATCTGGTTATATGAGCAGTATTAGAATACCACATGCCAAATGGTACATAATAGTAAATTCTAAAATGCGCGCACAATTTCTTTTTTCTCATTTCACTATTCGTAATGTGCGCGATGATGCTTCGTGTTTCCATTCCGCATCGCCCCCGTGTTCACCCCAACAGAGTTCCTTTTTAGTGCCCACTGTTCATCTCACCTCCCCGCCTTCCTAGGAGGGGCGCTCTTTACCATTCTATTGCATGTCGCCATCGCTGACCAGCCCTGCTGTGCGAAGGAGTTCATTTCTTCTTCCTTCTCTTTCTTCTCTTCCTCTTCTTCCACTTTTTACTGTCTCTCCTCTGCTGGTCAGATCATTAGACGAGAACAGACATACCACCGCCCAATTCACCCTACCGTAGTAACAAGCGTCATTATGCTCTTCCTTGTCGCTCGCTCCAAAGGGTGCATACTTGTCTATACAACGACTTTCCATATGACTCCAAAATTTAGCCTTGCGAGGTAAATAATACGACTTCGTCTTCCCTGTTTGGTTCACCCACAATTGGTCCGCCTCGTTGAGTGGTGTCACACGAAATTATTTTCCTTTTTTCGGGAACCTTTAGAGAGTCATTAAGCGGAGGTATATTCAGGAGCGTGTCACTCCTTTGCTGCTTCCCCACTTAGCTGCCCCCCTTCTGCCCAATACCTTAGCGTATATAAGTACATCTTCATACATATCGGAGAAAACCTTGTGAATCGCCTCGCTCGTTTCCCGGTAAAGAAAAATTTTTTCTACCTCTGGGTACTTGCCTCCATCATAGCGATAAGCAGGTAAAATCTTGCATTTTAGGTACTTTTCTACGATTAAGGTTTCACTTCATTATTGTTGACAAGAGTATCACAGCTTAGGCATAAGAAGAAATGCAAAACAATGCAGATAATGGTGAGATGTTTACCCGTTTTGATACACATGAAATGCTAATTCGTTTGAGAACAGCAATTGGAATGTGAATGATAGCCGTCAGAACAACCATAGGAATAATAACCCATAGCTCAGGAGGAAGTGAAAACAAAGTCCTGTAAACGCCTCAAAATAAAGTAATAATCTTCTTCAGAATAAAGAAAAAAAAAGCATACAATTTAAATAGTACCAAACTAACGACTAGAGGAGGCTTATGAAGATGCCAAAGGGGCACAACACATTCCAACTCACACATAAGCAAGTTCACAAACATGATGGCTGCCTCCACTCCTGCGTAGAAACAAATTCTACTCGTCCCCCATTTTTTCATCTCTCCAAATGTCTGGATCCTCAAAACAGCATGATATAAATATAGTACAAACATATTTAGGCATAGTTTTATAAAAAAGTTTATACGAATATTAATCAGGGTAAAGGGGGATTATAAATCTACACATACATCTATATATATATATGCATACACATCAACATATACATCTACATACATCCAGATATACAGGTATAAAAATATACATACACATATATGTTAACACAAGGGATGGGAATAATCAGGTATCAGGAACTGGTACATGTAAGACGGAATCAAGGGAGTCTTGTAATCATGCATCAGTTTGACGAAGTGCTGGAACTAACCACATGAAAAAAGAGGGGTCATAAATACGGAAATGGCACAGCATAGCGGTGCACAGCTGGTGTGTTCAGCTTGTGGGAAGGGAGTAGGGAGAGGAACCTGGCAGGGAGATTCTCCGCACACCCGCGCACCTCTTTCTAGGTAAGTTTAAAAAGATTCATACGATGCGTCTCCAAAATCTTATCCATTCAAATATTATTAGTACATGACAGGACACGCTGCATTACCCCCGGCCCCTTCGTCTTCTCCCCCCCTTCCTCAATCACACACTTTTACTTCAAAAATGTGAAAAAACAGGAAAAATTTTTTTTTTTTTCCCCATTAATTTGTTTATACAACAAAAATGACGTCGCAATAAATCACTACTATCGAATGTGAGTGCTTTCTATTTTGTTTCCTCTTCCTCCCACTTCCATGTCTGTTGATATTATTTCCTTCTAACATGTAAAATGAACTTCTTCTAAGTCGTGGGAGAGAATTTCAATTCAAGAATTAAAAGCGTCCAAGGGCGCAGAGGCATATATACATTATACATATATATATATACAACGCTTCCACCTCACGAGGAGATTTCTTCTTTCCCTCCCCCAACTGTTCAATCGCCCATATATTGTATCGTACGGCGAGAGCGTAACTCCATGCTCATGCGCATGAAAGGAGACTGAGGCTACGGTGCTCTATATGTATATGGCTCATTTCTATGTTGGTGTCCTCTGTAAATTCATACATCATGGTATAAGAAATACGGCCCCCACTTCTTATTTCCTCCTCCCATTTGATAACAAACTTTACGATGGGGAAAAATAGAAACATTCACAAGAGGCGTTCTTTCGGCTGAGGACACCTTCCTTCAATAATAATCGCCGATTCGCGCCTCCTTCTGAAATTACACAAAATGACGCTTTTAGAAACTGGGATAGATGTGGAGAATTGTACATATCATACTCAGAAACAGGATTATTTTCTTCCCTGCTGCTACTCCTGCTGTTTGTTTCTGCCACAAATTCACTAAGTGGGAGGTTGGGCACGTTCGGTGAATGAACAAAACGATTAGTAATTCCCTCTCACCGGAACACTTTGTTACGCGAAGACTGACTCGTTCTGGCAAGTTACAATTCTTCCATTCGCAGGCACTTCTAACTGTACTTCCCATTAACGATCGAACGCCGGTCACACTAAATGCGACTCTCTGGAATGAAGCATCCCCTTCACCGTTTCTTCCCCATTTGTGTGACCTTGGTTGAACGAATGAACCCGACATGCTCAGTCCTATTCACGTAACATTGCGATCGAAGTGAATCCCCGTTTTTGCTTATCCTCTTTCTTTCCTTCTTTCCATTTGTCTTACATTCGAATAGGACTTGCGCTGCGTTCTTCTCTACCTTCTGTCTAGTACCCCTATGCATGCAAACTAGAAAGATACTCTCTTTGTAAGGTAACATATGGAAGAAGTGTTCTCATGGTCTTTCTTTTCTTTTTTTTTTCATCCCCCCTTGGTGACATATAAAATATAGCCTTCTCATCACCCCTGTTATTATACAGATAAATATATCACTAATACATTTACATAGATAGTTTGTACTTATAATACAAAGGTAAATCGGTTAATATTGCACATATTTGTCTAGCGACGTATTCTGGATTATCCATTCTCTCCACAGTCGTACAAACTAACACTTAATCTTCTCAGTTCCCTATTCGTATGCGTCCTCCGGCGCCTCCAGCGCACAGGCTTCCCTTTCTCTTTCCATCTACCCGACAAGAACACCTAATGCCTCGCTGATCGATAACTAAGGCTAAAACTGCTATCTGTGGACGTTGGCCCGTCATCATACGAACTATAATTAAACGTACTTCTCGAATCAGACGTGGTACTCCCATCCAGCGTAGTACTCCCTTCGGATTCATTACTCTCACCGAAGCTACTAATACTTCCATCAGACGCACTATAATAAAACGTACTACCTTCATTAGACATGCTACTTCCATCAGGCGCACTATAATAAAACGTACTACCTTCATTAGACATACTAATTCCATCAGACGTACTACTTTCACCAAACCTACTACTGTCACTATACGTACTACCATCACCATAGTAGCCCATACTATTCGGGTAGTAATTTTCGCCTTGTATGTCTCTCCATTTCCTTCTGACATGGGCCCTTCGTGGGTTGATCGCATCTCCAATCGGGGTGAACTACAAGTTGTGAAAAAAGAAATATATACACATATAGATACAGCTGTATATATGTGTAGGTACATACACACAACACACATAGACACACATACATACACGCAGGCATATATTTCTGGATAACCCCTTTTGGCATGGCACAAACGAAACGACGGCGTCGCTTAATCCATCCCCTCGCCTTACCTTAAACAGAATATGCATCATCAGTATCATGAAAAGTATGAAAAAAATTACAAAAACGATACTTCCAAATGTGGTAAGCCGACGACTGTTATATTTGAATATTTTAAAGAATGGAGTGTAATATAAGTCCTCGCTTACGTCACATCTGACTCGAGCTGCGTCTGGGTGTTCCTCTAGGGATGACATTTTATTGTGATTTCCTTTTTGTTTTCCTTCTAAAGACTGATAAAGAGTAGTTTGATATTTGTCAAAAAATTGTTCTAATTGATAACATACAGGACTAGAACTAAAATTCCCAGGGGTTCCATTTTTGCCCGTTACAACTTTAAAAGTTTTGTTTGGACAATACTTTTCCTTTAATTCTCGAAATATATGAAGGCACTCATTAACAAATTGGCAAGCTTTTTTATATTCTGGTTTCTGGTGGTCAAGCAATATTGGCTGAATATCTCCACAAGTTTGTCCAAAATAATATAATTTCAATAGATTTTTTAATTCAGTCTTATTATGCAAAAATCCCCATAAAGATGTATCTTTAGCACAACATTTCTCATATACTTGTTTACATGACGCCTCACAGTCAGTTGCATCATTACCTGAATACCCATGGGAATGTTTCTTGTGATAATGACATAGCAAAAAATCCATCCAATTCTGATATGTACATTCTTCACATTTGCCTTCTATGGCTTCTTTGCAGGAACCTGAAAAGGTAAAAAAATGACATTTAAAATTTGTTTCTTTCTTTCGTTTTGTTCGAAATGTAATGATACTTGGTCTATATAGTTACATTAATAAAATACTTTTATAAATACTCACTAGGTGTCAGAGTATCACTACACTTAAGCCATTTCTTCTCGGGATCATACTAGAGGATAGAAAGAGATAATAAATATATTGTATGTGAAAGTGGGTAAAAGTAGGTAAATGCATACGTCACGAACTTCACGACAGGGCTCTATTTCTATGTACGCGTATTTCAAGAGCAGCAGAATAATTAAAATGGATAATGAGAAATTACTTGATTTTTTAGCTCGCCCAAGATAGTTGTCATTTTTTGCTTTTCAAAAAATGCTTAAAACAAAATTACAAAGTTTTAATTATTATAATTGTAATGTACGATAGCATTTCTGAAGCATTTTAGAAAATGATGAAGAAATCTTCCTCGTCTTCTGTTGTTGAAAAATTTTAAAGTAGTACGAACAAAATATTCTACGAAATGTTAACTTGTGTGATTTAAAAATGTGGATTTCATCACTTGGCTAAACAATGAAAGTATGTTGTGACTATAAGATTTTTAAGTAAGAAATTGTTAATTATCCCAAGCAAAGAAAAAAATAAATTAAAATAAAGTAAAAGATAATACAATACAATAAAGTGAAATATAATAAAATAAATTATATAATAAAGTAAAATAAAAAATGAGAGAATTGCTATTAAAACTCGAAATAGTTATGGACCTACAAATGATGTATATCACAGGATGATAAATTTTATTTTTTCCTTCCCGATAAGCACTTAAAATATTATACCTCTTCTCTTCGTATATCTTTCATTTTACTAAAATTGATACATTGGAAATTATCAAAAATGGTAAATAAATGTGATAAGATTATGAATACAATTACTACCTAAAATGGAATAATTTCTCTTCTAATTAAATTATTTTAGGTGCTGAAAAAAATATATATAAATAATCCAGAATTTCCAATTCTGGTAGAAATTTTCTTTTTTAATTATTCTAATAATATATTATCCCTCCCCCCCTTGGGACATACTAAAACATTTCATTTTGCTAATCATAACACAGCATAACATAGCATTAATAACACAGCATAATAAAGAAATAAACAAATAAGTTTCATTTCTCTTCGCAAAAAAATGGTCATATAAATCGTTTTCTTCAGATGTATACATTTTAAAAATAAATCAAATGACGTATTGCTTTCTGAATTTTCTTCCTTTTTTTTATGCCTGGAGTGGTAATTATAAATCCAATAGTGCAATGTTAATTTGGTTAATTATTTTAAGCAGTGTCTGTTCTCTCACATGCCAAATGATAATGACCTATTAAAAAGAAGTTTAAAAAACGCCCAGCGCAATGAAAATAAAATAAACAAACCCAAATCAGTGAAACGACTCAAAAAGGGAAAAGAAAAAATAAAGCCAGTGAATTAACAATAACCCGAAATGTTCGAAATGAAAAAACGTAGTTCCTCCTCCGCTTCCTAAAAAGTATGCAAGGAAAAACTTAACTTCGCCGGTCCGCAGATTTTGCACTTTTCCCATAGCAATGAACTACCAATATACCTGACATATAATACTGCATGTCACGCAGACAGGGTAACCTTCTTCAAAGAGAATTTACTTGCCGCTTTCTGTATATCCATATTTTTAATATATGAACATATCTACTTGCCTAGAGGCAAGAAAAAATCCCCATAATTATTCCCTTTTCGTTTTATAAAACATTCGCGTGTAGAAAAATTGGACGAGGCTAGAGGAAGGAGATCCTTTATAACTTCCCTGAGCCATTTTTCACAAAGGCCCCATTCGACCCCGCGATCTTCTCCCCTAACGTTAAGTATATGTGGAAAACATCCTCCCGACTTGTTCCTTCCCCATACGGTTGCGCATGCTTCGATACAATAGTCCCATGCCTGTCATCTCTCCCCTTATTCGTATCTATATAGATATATATAGATATATATAAATATATGTATGTCCAGGTCGTCTCCTACTTGGGCGTATCCCCGCACTCAGGTTTTTGCAGCCAAACATGCGGTAATGAACCCACCATCGCCGTCCAAAACTGTTGCCGTGCTGCATGGCGCAAACTGAGCTAGCAGGGTGCTCCAAAAGGACTAAAACAATTAAAGAAAGCCTACGTTCTCTATACGTAGTATATTTCCTTGGATATACGCGCTCCTCTCATGCCACAAGGAATCCTTCTGCATTGCTCCAAAAACATCCTCAATTTTTAACCTTTTAGAAGGTTATTTCAGTGTGATAATTTTTCTGCTACTTAAAGACAAACTTGTTTGGGTGTCCATCTACATAGGGAAGAACCAGAAGCGCGCACTTCGCATTTTGGGCTCTCCCCCTCTGTCTCATCACATTTCAGTTCACCCAAACGAGAAGTTAACCCCAAACTGGAGGTTACCCACTTGCGAATAATTACGTAAAAAGCAAAGCGGCTTTAAAAAAAAAGAATATCCTAAGGGGGATGATTTCCAAAGGGGTTGCTAACCATTCTGTAGACATTCCTTTTCGGTAATAAAAGAAATATTCATTTTTCTCATAACCCCAAAAATGAACCCGTCGAACGATCCGTTGAGTCAACTTTGCCTTGTTCGAAATGTCCGGGGAGGTTTAACCAAAAAAGAGGAAAGGATCCAGGAGAGTATAGTTCACTTGGCTGTTCCTATCGAAGTAAACAACCGTGGTAAATGCAGCACAGCCATGATCATCCCATCCAGTAAAGGAGAAACATATACCATTTTGGAGTAATCCCTTTTTCGTTCCAACGTTTAGAAGTGCATCATAAAATGAGGGGGAAGGGGGGACCACATTCTGTGCCCCGTGATTAACCCACCACGATTGACTAAAATGCAGGAGTGACCGTGATGGTATAGAACTATTTACAAACACGACTTCTGCATGTCAGTTCCACCCTCACCTTTTTAAACATAAACTTATCACACTAAGAAGAATGTACGATTGAACAGACGTGTTGGCCTAATTATTGCACCGATTTTTCTATCCTTTCCTAAGGGGCCTCTTCCCTTTAAACTGGAAAAATTTCGAACAATATTCTATGCCTGCCCTGCGGCTTCACCATTTTTGTTGCATCCTGTTGGGGTGTTTGGACGGGGGGTGAAGAGCCGAACAATGGTGTCGAGATGGACAACAAGTGTCAACGTGTATCCCTACCAAAAGTGGAATTACTGAAATTTCGAAGGAACACATGATAATATGATCACTTGGGCCACGCTTAGAAGAGGCTGGGAAATAATTTCATCGGTAGGGAAGCCAATGTTCCATTTCGCACTTAACCAACAGGCATAATAGAGATCCTACGAGTTTAAAGAGAAAAGAGATGCACCACCTCCTGACGATGAGCACAGCGGATGATTGTTTTATCTAAGCTGAAACTCCCGCGCGTGATGTCTCTCCCACCAATTAAAATCTGCCGTTATTAAAGACATTCTAATATCGAAATATGGCAACTCTGGTTTCCCCCCATTATCATGCTGACATCAAAAGGTAGAGAGAAGTCTGATGTCACCTTTTAACAAGATTGCAAATTTGTTTCTCCTGTCATCTTTACTGAGCTATTTCTAATTCAGCCAAATGAAGTCTTCCCCCCCTATTCGTAACTATGTTTATGCGATAAAAATAAATAAAACAAGATAAATCCGCAAAAGGGGCTGAGAAAAATATGCTCTCCATTGTTCAACCTAATTATTCATTTTTTTAATTAATTTTTTTCCTTGCGAAATTGATCATTATATGGAACAACCCTGCATATTCCTTCTCGCTACTTCACCTTTGCCCGTTCAAGTTTCGTAAGAACACATGGTCTACTGTTTTTCATTCGAACCCTTTTTTAACGTTCCGATTTTTTTTTTCCTTTCTTTTCCAAACATGTTGGTGGATATATCACCATTGGGTAGAAATTACAGAACACATGGTTGCAGGGGCAGCCTTTTCTTTTTTTTTTATTTTTTACGTTTTTCCTCCTTTTGGTTTTGAGCCTCTTTTTTTTTATCTATATTTCCATTCCTAATTATATTCCTATTTCCATTCCTAATTATATTCCTATTTCCATTCCTAATTATATTCCTATTTCCATTCCTAATTATATTCCTATTTCCATTCCTAATTATATTCCTATTTCCATTCCTAATTATATCCTATTTGCATTTCTATTTCCCATTTCTATTTCTATTTTTACATGCGTGTCCTCTTCGCTCCTATGGTGAGAAAACCATTCCGACTCCACTTTCAGTTTTGCTACAGTTCCATATATCTTGCCATCTCAAGTAATAAAGAGAAAAAAAATACTCATATTTTTATTAGAAATTGGAAAAGATAACGTAAAATTTTATATCCATGTAGAAGAAATATCTCCAGAAAAAAAAAAAAAAAAAAGAAAAAAAGGCACAGCCGAACTTCATTGAATAATTTGGAAAAGAATTATCTCCGCGTCTGCGGTGCTCTTATTTACCATTTTAATTTTTTTCCTAAACCGTTACTGAAGGATATTTTTTTCAAACAGAAGGGGAAATAAAAATAACATAAAATAAAGTAAAATAAAGTAAAATAAAATAAAACAAAATAAAGTAAAATAAAGTAAAATAAAATAAATAAATGAATAACTAAATGAATAACTAAATAAATAGCTAAACAAATAACTAAATAAATAAAATAAAATGAATATGTCAGCACGTTCTATTATAACTCTGGCGGCTGTAGTCCTTGCTGAAACCTGGCATTACGCCGATAAAAATGTAAGGCCCAGAGCAGCTGACAAATGAGACATATTACTATGCAGGCGGATTAGTCTGCGCATTGGGACATACCCCGCCCCCTTCCTACAATTATGCATCTCTGTAAACATTGAATCGCTTTCATTCTGTTCATTTTGTTCATTCCGCTCCTTCCTTTCGTCACCCTATGCAGGCCGCCTTTCCCGTCCGACCTCGCCACCTCCCAGCCAACAGAATGCTAAAATCAGAGTTAGATTTGCTGGAGAAACCCATATACGAACGCATGACGGAAAAAATTCTGATAGACGTGGCAGCAGATCAGCTCTTCACCAGCGTCAAAAACTGGTATGACGAATACGACGTAGAAGACGGATCTGCCAACATCACTTTTGGCAGCGTTGAAAAAAATCTCAACTTATTTGCTAACGAATATAAAAAATTCACCACGGATAATTCTAAAGGCATCAAGAATAAAAAGGAGTTTAAAAAAATATTTGATTCCTTTGGTGAAGGAGAGGAATACGATAACTATGATGAGAAGGATAAGCGGAAGTATCACAGGAAGGTTGGTGACGATCGGGATGATGACGATCGGGATGATGACGATCGGGATGATGACGATCGTGATGATGACGATCGTGATTATGACCGTCGCGATGATGACCGCCGTGATTATGACCGTCGCGATGATGAGGGTCTCCATGATGACGATCAGGATGAAGACGACGACAATTATCAAAGGAAGAGTTACTACCCTTCTCGACGACACGCGAATGAAAAAGGACAGAAATTTTCCTACTACCACGATGGGAAAAAGTTCCAATCTTACTACGACGGAGACGAAGCGGAACAGAGATTTACAAAAAGAGAAAAAGAAGGTGTAAAGGATAACTTCAGAAATGCAATGAAACAACCAAGCGACACTGACAGCGACGAAGAAGAATGGTGGACAGGACCATCTTCTAAAACGTCCCAAAGAGAAAAGGATGACCAAAATCGTAGAATGTCGAAGGTCCAACAGGGAAAAAAGCCATCTGAAGAGACTGAAAATCACTTTGACAAGAAAAAAAAATCATCCAATTCGATAAAGAACTTTTTTAAAAACATCGACAAAAAAATCGAAAAGGATTTACTTCGCTCCTTTTTCCCTCACGCAAAAGGCGATAATAAGTATTCTCAAAAAGAGAAATCCTTCTCTGGCGTATTAAAAAAATCTACCGCCATATCCAGGTTTTTCGCTGTACCTTTGGGAATCCTTATATATGCAATAGTAATGATGGGGCAAGGTTCTTACTGGATTTCTCCTCTTCTCGTTCTTCCCTGTATCATAATCATTTACCTAGGACTTAAGTTACGCAAAATTAAGAAATTGATTAAAGGCAAATATAAAGGTGAAGATACAGACGAGAGTAAAAATTCCGTGAAGATGGCCATTCGAAAACGTGCCGAAATGAGGCGATCCATGCAAAACGGTGGTGTCCCTGGGATGAAACCAATGCAAAACGGTGGTGTCCCTGGGATGAAACCAATGCAAAACGGTGGTGTCCCTGGGATGAAACCAATGCAAAACGGTGGTGTCCCTGGAATGA